ATTCAGCCTCTCTTCTCGCCCGCTCAGCATCCAACACCTGGAGTTCCTCATCTGTATACTCCAGCTCAAACAGGTATGGCTCTGGATCTGTGTCCGCTACAAGAAACTCTTCAAAATCGCGTTCAACGTCGCCCATTGCAGCTACTATAGTCCGGAGATATCGTTAGGCTAAATAAACAACTGAGTTTTGTTTACAGGCTAAGTCTGTGCCTGTGCCTGCTCACCGGTGTATCCCTCCGCGGATCACAACACAGGACGTAAACACACTATACTTCCGTGTATCAAACTTCTTCTAAAACAACTAAAAAGGACTCTCTTTTTCGAATTAATGTTTAAACACGTTTATTTTAAATGCACGTGCAGAAATGCCAGCTTCAGGGTTTCTGTAACGTTTATTTGTTCACTTTTACCTTAGGCTAATGACCCCCTATAGACTTCAATTGTATTCGCTAAGCTAAGCCGCAATGCTAACCACTGAGACCCAGCCACTGGACGTACAGACACAAAAAAGATATTGATCATGTTGTCTCAATATGAAAATGATAGAGAAAGGGCATAACTCCCAAATCGTTGCAGTATTCCTTTAAGACAAATTGTCTTTTAGTTTTAACAATTAGGTGGATAGATGTGTTCTGAAATGAAATCGATACCTTAAGGCTAGTTCACATTTCACGATTTTCACTGCCATTTTGACGTCGCAGAGGATCCTGAGAGCCACCTTGGGTGAGTCGGCAGATAGTCTGCCACGACAAGTCATCATGTGTGAACAAGCCTACGAGCAAGTTGCCCCCTCGTTTGCGACTGGGACTGGATATCTGGAATGCTAGAAAACTGGAGAAGTCTAACACAACTGATAAAGAGCATCAGCCAATGAGAGGCGCGATACGTCAGCATGCAGGACGACGGAAGAAATGTGAGGAGAACAAGCTGGCAAGCAACAACAACAATGGTGGCATCCACAGGATCAGGGGGAGCGCGTTGTGTTTGGACCCAGGTCCTGGAGGCAGATCTGATTCAACACTGGGAAGAATATCCATGCCTTTACCACGTGTCGTCTCCAAGTTAAAAAACGTAGATTGGTGATGTCATCGTGTTATCTGCGGCTCTGTCGGTGAGGGCTCGGTGGAGAAATCTTGTGGTGTGCACACACAGGTCGTAACGCAGTTGGCGAGACTCCTGATGACAAAAACACACGGCACCAGGTATGAACACTCAAAAGATTACGATAGTCTACGCGAAGCAAAATCGGGGTGAAAATTGTGTAATGTGAACTAGCCTTTAGTCACATTAAAAGCCCTTGAAACCCCTCAAAATCAGGTAGCAGCCCTTTTATTTGCAGTTTATCTGGGGTTTTTAATACACTAAATATGCTCCTTACTGCCATGGCACTGAAATCCTTATGCTGCCAATATAACTCCCTTTTTTACTTATTTAAGTAGTTATTTTTCTGTTACCGCTGATCCTGTTAGGGGTCACAGGGGGGCTGGAACCTATCCCAGCTGTCACTGGGTGAGAAGGGGGGTACACCCTGGACAGGTCGCCAGACTATCACAGGGCTGACACAAAGAGATAGACAACCATTTATGCTTACATTCACACCTAGAGGCAATTTAGAGTCACCAAGTAACCTGACCTAGATGTCTTTGGACTGGGAGGAAGCTGGAAAACCCAGAGAAAACACGCACATGGGGAGAGCAGGCAAACTCCACACAGAAGGGCTCCAACCCCAACCTATAGTCATACAATATATATTTTAAATGTATTATTTAAGTTATTTTCTTTTTTTTGCAGTAGGCCATTATTTAAGGTTGTTGTGCCTGCTTAAAAAATCTAATTAAGTGAGTGAGTAAGTGTGATTAAGTGTAAACTGCAATAAGATAAAGGGTAAAGTTGTTGTTTTTTTAATTTACTTGTGCACCTGATTGTTGTTTCAAGACAGACTTGAAAAAAATTGTGAACCTGTCCTTTATAGACCATAGAGAACGGGATAAAAAAAGTAAATGATAGTGCTCTCAGGTGGTCAGTCAATTTTAGCTAACAAGTTACAAATGTCAAAAACCTCCTTCTCCCAGACCCCCATTCAGTTGACACTGAAAGAAGCTGTAAAAGTACCAGACCATCTGGCAGCTCTGAGTTGAAAGACTTTCACACCTGCAGCAACTGGAGAATCTCCTCAGAAGCTGTGAGCAAATCACCACCTTAACAGGCATTCATGAGATATCTCACAGACACTTACTCATGTCACAACACTAACAGATCAATTAGCACTGATGTGTGGTGACTGACACCTCATCCTGTTCTCACATGGCTGTCACACACACACACACACACACACACACACACACACACACACACACAGGCAGACACAAGAAAATGGACCAAAAAGTTGCACCCTGGTGTTTTCTGTCCATATTCAGAGCTTAACAGTATTTCTTTTGCATGTTGCCATTATTGCCACCAGCATGCTTCTAAACCCCCTCTGGTGCTGTAACTGTTAAATAGGAACAAAACAGTCATTGTTTTATTTGGGTTAACATCATGATTGTGTTCAGATTTCACCATTTAGTATATTAGTAATAACCCAATTAACTATAAAAGTGCCCAAAAATGCCTGTTATCATGACTGAATCTCAATTAAGATGCCAGTATACGTCAAAAGTGCTTTTTGGATGCTCAAATGCTTTAGACAATACACACACAAACGTGATAACAAAGCTGTATGGAGGTTCAAACTATGAATAACTTCCAGGTGAGAAATTGTGTGCCATTATCCCCCTTTTTAAACAATACCATGTCACCCCCTTGTCAATGAGGCTGCCTTTTTTACTCTTCCTCTGAGTGTGGCTGTTGGTATATTTTTGATTTCCGATGTGATCAAACAGCTCGTTACACAAACCACTTCTTTCCTTGTAAAACTTGGCCTGCAATCTAATAAGAAAGCCTTGCTGTACTACACACCTTAAAGAAGGTTACAGTTTTCAGTGGAGTTGTGCTTAGAGCTGTTTCTAATATTTTTTCTACCATCAGTGATATGGCTACCCTGATATCACCTACTGGTTTGTGAACTCCCCTTTTGAATCCTAGAGTTCAGCATTTCGACCATTGCCATCTTGTTTTTTTGAGAGCCAGAAGTGGCCACATTTGAATGAGCGAGGGGTGGATCTGACTGTAGTGACACCATCACAGACAGCTTCACTCAAAGTGACCTGCCCTTAATTATGTGTAACTTTAAGCCTCAACAAAATGTAAAAAGTTATATAAGAATTCAGTCCCTGTACAATTATCATGGATTTTTAAATTAGCTGTGGAGATCAAACCTATTTTTGTACCAGGCTGTAAACATGTTTATTTCTGCTGTAAAGTTGGACATTTTAACATGGAGGTCGGTAGGGAATGACTGGCTTCTGGAATCAGGCTCAAGTGGACAAGGAACTGCAGGTTTTGGCACTTCTGTGTTGGTTTCATATGTCAGCCTCAGAGGTTGCAGCTTGATAAAAGTATACTGTCTTCCTGCTTTCTGTGTGCAATGGCATTTATATATATGTCCAGGACTGTGTTGGTGGCTGATTTATATCACATTATTTGTATCCACTTTTCATATAAGCACAAGCAAAAATAGCTTATGATGAATTCATAGTATATAGAAGTTATTGTTAATACCATTCACATAAACATTCATATTCATATAGTCATATTTACTGCATGGAAATTTTTTCTCAAAGTTTCAACATACTGTATACTACTTAATAGTGCATAATGTGTCAAAGGCAATCCAGTACAATCTCACATCTGCCAAATTCAACAGATAGGATGTTGCATTGTCTATGCACAACATTTTAACCCTTGCACTATCAACGCCTTGCGACATAAACACAAACATGAGAAGCACAAGAAGTGCAAGAGTCAAAACACACATAGAAACACCCACCTGCAGTGCAGGTGACTTTAGACAGTGCACATCTGAAACCATTAATGAGCCTACTGTAATTCTGGGGCCAATGTTTGTATGTCTAACAAGGGCAATGAATCAGAAAAATACTTCAAAAGTGAAGTAGCAGCTATTGCACTGTTATCAGTGCTCTCTAGGAACTGATGTCCAGTTCTCAGAGAGCAAAACATAGTGATGTAGCTGGTTTTCCAGGAATGTCTCATATGATGCCACCTCATCACAACAGCTTGAATCATGACCTAATATGACACACAATGGCCCTGGCTGCCAGCTGTAATGGAAAAGCATCTCAGCTTGTGTTTGAGTGAGCTGAGGGACACAAGTGCAGAGCAGCCACCAGCTGGTATGTACACTATCAAATGCAACACACAGCTGTACATCAGTAAAACAGACGAGATTGTTTGATTCTAAAAGAGAAAATGAGGCCTGGATGCAGTCAGCTTAGCGCAGAGACAACACTGCATGACACAAATGGCCACAGAGAGAGAAATGCTTTTGTTAATAGTGTAGCATAGTAAAACAATATAGAATTTATAATAATTTCCAAATTAAATTTCATTATTACATAGTTATGATTATAAATAGTATTTTTAAAGGTCAGGTATAAGCACCAAAGCCATCTAAGCTGCCCATTCCCTCTCCATAACACATTTTATTTACTGTATAATTTAACTCTATATGCAGTTGCTATTGTTGATCACTTCCAGAAAAGCTGAAAGCACATTCTCAATGATCATTTGCTACCACACCCAGCTTTTAGTCATATAAGTGCAATGTTATTAAAAGGCCACATGTTGATGACCTGGTGTAAACACAGCCCTCTCATGTCCCACTAGCTGCACTGATGTACAAACATGGGAAAAAACCCTTTCACTGCAAATGTATGAAGCTACACTTGCAGACTTGCATCTTGTGTTGAGTTGAATGGCCAAACACAGCCTTTCATGTGTGTTTAGTGTCCCATATGTGTGTGAAGTAGGAGGACAAAGTGTTGGTCAGTAAGAGAAAGTGACAAATGGGTGGGTAAATGGATGGAGGGTAAAGATCTTACCTGGGGGACACAGGCAGTTGTGGGGAGCCTCCCTCATCTCCCGTGTTTTTGGAAGCCGTGCTGCAAGCTTCTGCATGAGAGGAAACAGAAGAAGAATGTTAGAGCGCACTGACATTTTAATATCACGTGACACCAAACATGAAATGTGTGTTGTCAAAAACACAATTTACATTTATCTGTGTGTACTTACTACTCAATATATCTTTCTTTTTGTCAAAAAGTATGAAAGACTCAGGCTTAACTTAAGGTCCACTTACCCGTTTGCTCTACAATTTTTGACTACTACTGTACATTGTCTTAAGCAGATAGATTTTGCATGAAACTGAGTTTTGATGAGTTTGCCCACTTTCAGGATTTCCTGTCAGTGTTGGGAGTGAACTTTCAAGCTCAACATTTAGGCCAACATGGACAGGAAGTTCAATTACAATTCCATGACAACTGAGAAAACATATGGTAATGAAAACCCCATAACAGGGATGCATGATATTGGATTTTTTGCCAGCATCCGATATGCCAATATGTAAGAAGTCATTTGAATGATAACCGATACGGATATCGAAATATCCACTTTTTTTCCCACCTAATTTTAGTGATCATCAAATCTCTTCTGTAGTGGAATTTACATCATATGATGCATACTGTGATGGCCCCCCAGTAGATGAAGACATGAAATACAATACTTTTCAATGGATGTTATATTCATTAATTCTGCAAAATAAGAAAAAGATGATGATGGCTGATTCTGATCATTTTACAGCTGATATCGGCCGATAGCAATGATGTGATGATATTATTGTGCATCCCACTTCATAATATGTACGAAAGCCTCAGACAAGAGTGTAAGGGGACCTTGACTCAAGATTGTCTTGTCAACTGGCTATAACTGTACTTACATGTACACAATATAGCATTTTGCTTTGGGATTCAGATAACGTGTTACTATGTGCTGTTGTAGTCTGAGTCCTGTTACCCTATAGAGAAAGATGACATTGTTTTATTGCCACAGTTTTGGTTCTACATTAAAACTTTCACCAGGAGCAGGCGGAGCTCAATCTTTATATGATGTATTAAGAGAAGACACATCTAAAAAAATGTAAACCAAAAACTGTATGGTCAGTTACTGTTTCATTATTAAGCACAAACACCTTTCTTCAGATATCAAAGTGTGACAGTTGAGCACATTACATAAACAAAATCCTGTATGTGATTTGCCCCTGAACAGAATAGAACACTATCCAAGTACATTCTCCCCAGCATAGCAGTCACTCCCGCTGGTGGTGGTGACTTGCAAAGGAATGCCAGCCAGGCTGTTTAGGGGCCTGCAACAGGTGCTAAAGGGGATGTCATGAAGGAACAGTCATCCTGAGCACTACTGAAGTATTCTGGGTACAACCTGTGACCTCAGTGTGCCAAGCATTGGAAATGATGATTTTGGGGGATGAGATAGACGTGTACCCAGTGGAATGTTTTCCATTTCTCGCAAGTAAACTCCACTAAAGCCCTGTTTCCACCAAGCAGCCCGGTATGGGTCATTTCAGTTCAGTACGCTTTCTTTTCTGTTTCAACTGTGAAAAGTTGTGGATGGTAACAATGGAATCATTTCTTGCTGTTCCCATTTTCTGTCATGCCTGTGTTGGGGTACCTAGCACATAAATCTGATACTTAAGTGTGGAGCTAGAAACACTGCAGTCTGTTGATTGGTAAATAGAGGAAGGTGACTCTTGCTCAGGGCTGAGTTGGGCTGAACCAAGGCTTGTGTCATACAGTCTCAGCTGTTCCTCTCTTCTGTCTGTCCACAACTGACATCTTGCCCACGGCCGGCTAGTTAGCTTGCTAGCTTGCTACTTCCACCATGCTTTTATGCTAACATTACAGTGATGACAGAAAATGAGCTGAACAAAGCTGTCACTTATCTGATGATAGCAATGTGTTTTTCTATGCTGTGGCAGAAGAGTGTTGATGAAGCAATTAGTTGTAAGCATAGTCTGTGTGTTGGAGTGATTTTGCCTTGTGTGGTAAATGTGAGGAGAATGAATGTGAAGGAGACTTTGAACCAGTGTGTTATTTGCAAATGGCAGTGAAGGAGACAGAAATAATCAGCACTAGATCTAAGATTTGACGTAGGTACAAAATGTTATGTCGTGAGGAGGACAAATCAATCAGGAATCACAAGGAATTTTAATTTTGTAAGGATCAGGTGAGGTTTTCGGCCTTTGGGGCAACAGTTATTAACTGTACTGTTGGAGTGAAAAGGAAATTTGAGAAAATTGACACGATTATAGATGCAGGAAGGAGATTTCTGGGTGTTGTGAGAGTTTCTGGAAAAGTTGTGCTGCAGCATTTAAGACAAGTGTTCAGGCTCTCTCACACACCTGAAAAATACCTAACTTACGACAGAGTGGGAAATGGGTGGAAAGGGGTTCTGATCAGGGGAGTAGTCACCATATACACTGAGGGGGACACGTCCCCCCCCAATGTTCAGATATGCCCAAAATGTCCCCCCCAATATAGCCTATATTTAAGCAGCTCTATTGCTCACTGTGACGTATTGCGGTAAGCGTGTTGTGTCATTTCCAGTGTTTTCTGTGACAGCGTCTCTGTGCTGCTGTAGTGAATTCTAATAGCTTGCTTTCTGTTTTTTCCTCATTTCAGTTGCTTAATGTCTAATTCAAGTCTTAACCCACATTAGTTCTGTTTAAGCACTTATAGCTCCCCTCCTTTTTACGATTTTCTTGCTAATCTCTTAGCTGTTGGTTGCACGTTATTAGCCTTGTTAGCTACATTAGCTTAATAGTTAGCAATGGCTTCTCCTTCTGCTCTTTCTTGCTCGGAGTGCCAGGTGTTTAGTTATGCCTCTGCCTCCTTTAGCGACAGTGGTAATTGTAATAAGTGTAACTTTTTTGCTGCGTGGGGGTGAGGCTCAGTGAATTAGATATGCGGCTTCGCATCATGGAAAATCATCCAGCTGTGGTAGTTAGTCAGCCCCCTGTAGCCGGAGCAGAGCCACATAGCATAGCATAGCGGTCCCCCGGTGACCCCCGTGCAGCTGGGAGGCTGGGTAACTGTCCAGGAGAAGTGTAGCTCCAAGCCGAAGCCCACGGTTCACCACCAGCCTGTTCATGTTTCTAACCGCTTTTCCCCACTCTGTGACACACCCGCTGAGGAGAAAACTCTGATCATTGGCAGCTCTATTCTGAGTAACGTGAAGTTAGCAACACCAGCGGCCATAATCAAATGTATCCCTGAGGCCAGAGTGGGCAACATTGGATCAAATTTAAAACTGCTGTCTAAGGCTAAACGTAGATTCAGTAAGATCATTATTCACATCGGCGGCAATGACACCCAGTTACGCCAATTGGTGGTCACTAGAATTAATGTTGCCTCGGTGTGTGAATACGCAAAAACTATGTCGGACTCCGTAGTTTTCTCTGGACCCCTCCCAAATCTGACCAGTGATGACATGTTTAGCCGCATGTCATCATTTAACCGCTGGCTGTCCAGGTGGTGTCCAGCAAACGATGTGGGTTTTGTTAATAATTGGCAAACTTTCTGGGGAAAACCTGGTCTTATTAGGAGAGACGGCATTCACCCCACTTTGGATGGAGCTGCTCTCATTTCTAGGAACCTGGCAAATTTTATTAGTAATTTAAATCCCTGACAACCCAGAGTTGAGACCAGGACAGAGAGTTGCAGTCCTAAACGCCTCTCTGAGCTTCTAGTTCAGTTACCCAGCCATAGTTTTCATAGTTTTATACAAACGGTGTCTGTCCCCCGACCACCTAAATTATTTAAATCTAAAATTAAACAAAGAGGAGTTGTGCATAACAACCTCATAAAAATTAAAACCTCTTCTGTGACAGAAAGACAAAACAGGAGAATTAAATGCGGACTGTTAAATATCAGGTCTCTATCGTCTAAAGCAGTGTTAGTAAACGAATTAATATCAGATAATCATATTGATTTACTCAGTCTCACTGAAACCTGGCTGTGTCAAGATGAATATGTTAGTCTAAATGAGTCCACTCCTCCCAGTCATAATAATACCCACATTCCTCGAGGCAGCGGCCGAGGAGGGGGAGTTGCAGCCATTTTTAACTCTAGTCTGTTAATCAGCCCTAAACCTAAACTAGATTATAATTCATTTGAAAGCCTCGTTCTTAGTGTTTTACATCCGACCTGGAAAACCTCGCAGCCACTTTTATTTGTTATAGTGTACCGTGCTCCTGGCCCGTATTCTGAATTTGTATCTGAATTCTCAGAGTTTTTATCCAGTTTAGTTCTTAAATCAGATAAAGTTATTATTGTAGGCGATTTTAACATTCATGTCGACGTTGATAATGACTCCCTGGCTACCGCGTTTATCTCATTAATAGACTCCATTGGCTTCAGTCAGGGTGTACATGAACCCACTCACTGTTTTAACCATACCCTCGATCTAGTTCTGACGTATGGAATTGAAATTGATAACCTAAAAGTCTTTCCACAGAATCCCTTGCTATCAGATCATTATCTGATTACTTTTGATTTCTTTTTACTCGATTACACGCCACTCAGCAACAGTTACTATACTAGATGTTTATCAGATAGTGCTGTCACAAAATTTAAGGAAAAGATTACTTCGTCGTTAAATTCAATACCAATACCTTCAGTAACAGAGGTTTCCCGTGCCGACTTTAACCTCTCCCAAATTGATCATTTTGTTGATAGCGCCGTAGGCTCGCTGCGAACAACGCTCGACTCTGTAGCTCCTCTTAAAAAGAAGTTAACAAAGCAAAGAAAGTTCGCTCCTTGGTATAACTCTCAAACCCGTAAGTTAAAACAAATATCGCGAAAATTTGAAAGGAATTGGCGATTAACCAAACTGGAAGAATCTCGTTTAATCTGGGCAGACAGTCTCAAAACGTATAAGAGGGGCCTCCGCAATGCCAGAGCAAATTATTACTCATCTTTAATAGAAGAAAATAAGAACAACCCCAGGTTTCTTTTCAGCACTGTAGCCAGGCTGACTGAAAGTCACAGCTCTATTGAGCCTTGTATTCCTTTAGCCCTTAGCAGTAATGATTTTATGAG